GTTTTGGGCATCCCCGCGTTTTGGGCATCCCCATTCCCAAATCCTTAGCGTTTTGGGCATCCCCGGTCGGGGATGCCCAAAACGCTGATCGCTGCGAATATGCCTAAATTATTTCAGACTGGGAAAAAGTCGGGATTGTCAGTCACGAATTTACGGCTGAATAGTATAGATGCATGTTAGAATTATATCGTCTGACACTTTTTGCCGGGTTTATTGCGCAGAAAAAAAACTCATAGGCAGTAAACGTTGGCTCAAAAAGGGACGAAACTGAAATTTACAATCGCATAACATCCCTTCGCTGTACAACGCTTCATTGTTTGCAAAGCTTCAATTTTATTTAATAGAACTGTTTACCAGCGAGAAATGCCGCAATCGCCGGCAGCTGCGATCGTCTGATTCCAAACAGCCAAAAACAAGAATACTAAACAAAACAATCAAAAGACAAACATGAATAAAATTGCGTTTTGCGGTGTTGAATTCATAGTATGCATGACATTTGAGGCCTGTACAACTTAACCCCGCAGCGCTACTTGACACACAAAAGGCTGTCACACAATTTATACAGAGCCCTCTTGCACCTACGGGAAAGAAGAAATCTGTTGCCGTTTTGAGATGTAGTAGGGGCTTCTATTAAATCAATTCCGACCGAGTACCACACCTTGGGAACAACCTTCACAGGGTGCAAAAGTATTATCGCGGCCGGCGTGTTGACAAAAAAGAAGCAGAGTGGCACTCTTCGAAGACCCTCGCTTTCTCTTCCTCGGTGAACAATTCGTCGAAGCGCTGTGCCATCCTTCTCCTTGGCCACCTAGAACAAGGACTCTAATTTTGAGTCATACTCGAACTTTTTGGCAAATTTCGCAGAGTCGTTTTTTTGCTTTGTAAAGCCTTCCGGATAAGCCTTCTTTTTAAGATACTGGAAAAGATTTCTATATTTAGCGGAAGCCATCTCTAAAACGTTTTCGATTTTCCCGCGAAATCCAGCATTTTTTTGGAGGGGATGACCAAAACACTAGCGATTTGGGCATCCCGGGAGGGTACCGGGGGATGCCCAAAACGCTAGGGATTTGGGAATGGGGATGCCCAAAACGCTGTGACAGCGGCATGCACTTTAGATAGTCCCGGCGGGACTGGAGCGTAGGCCAACCGAAAGTGTGGGATATCTGCGATTGTCAAACTGTGTAGCCTTCGATAATACTGGTGGCACGCCTATGTGGCTTATCCAAGTGCTCTCGGTCAGCCTTACTGCAGGAGTACCATACAACAGCGCAACAGTCGAATGCTGGTACCCTGCGAACAGCAGACGTATTTCCAGTCGTCGCTTCTCTCCCTCCGAAAAATTTTTCGGAGGGAGAGAGGCGACGACCGGAAATATGTCTGCGGTTCGAAGGCTAGAATACTGGAAGTTTCATGGCGTTATTAAGTGTTAAATACGATTCACGACTCACGCGGAATGACCTTGCGCGCTTTACGAAGCATGCCGAGCTTTGCCGATATTTTGCGCCCGATGTAGTCTATGTGGTCATTCCACGAGAGGTATGGATCGAGCATAACGCCGACATACTTAAGATAGACTCGTGACAGGACAGTGTCCCCTGCTCTGACTGTGAGACTATCAAAAAAAAGTGGAGCGAAAGAAGCAAGGTTGATTATAACCTGAGATCAGGCCCAATTTTTGTAGTTCTCATACATTTTCTCTTACGAAGTCTCTTTTCGTTTCGCCTTGTCCGCCGGATAGGACCGATATTACCAAGGACTCACAGAGCATGGAGAAAATTTCTCTGCTCTTGCTACCAACTGTACGCGTAGTAGGCCCACCCGATTTTGCTCTAGTTACTATTACATCCACCCGATTCGACACTTACTTACTTACTCACTTACTTACCGATACTTACTTACTTGTGCTATAGTTTGTGTCGTAGTGTGTTTGTTTGTTTGGCTTTTTTTTTTGTTTTTGAAGCGATCTGGGCTGGATTTGCGATCTTGTCCTGTGTCTCTAAGTCCGTTTGTCTTTCATATAGACAGCTCGAAATGCTGTTATCCGTGAATTTCCGGTCTACCATGACGCACTATCACTTAATTTTGAGGTCCCTGATTCGTGGTATTCGTGGAAAAACCGAATCGAATTTAGCTGCTAATATATCTATTCATATAGTGACCCACGTTGTAACATGCCAAACGATGATCTTGAACGCATTTTCTCAGGCTGGGCTGATGCGTTTCTAAGATTGTTTTAAAGCTTTACCCGCAATCTTGTCAACGCTCAGAAAAAACATGAACTGAAACCGGACGAGAGCTGACACTAACTGATCGTAATCCTGGAAATAATTTTCTGCAATAATGGATGTTAGCTACATGATTCGTGATATGAAGGGAAGTAGGGTCCTTATTCGTGACTGGGACCTCCATTCAATGGCTAATTGAGGGATTAACTAGACTTATTTAGACACTTATTTAATGTATAAATTAAATTGAAACAGAGAACTTTCTTTACAAAAATGTCAAATTAGTATATTTACAGTGGTCAATCTTTTCACGTTATAAAGTTTCAAACTGATTACAGTTTTTCTAATTTGCTTCTTAATTAATAGAATAGAGTACTTTATTCAACTTTATTTTAGCAAAAATCACTAGGAAACTGGAGCATGCATGAGATCAAGTTGTCTGTAGCACAAAGTATTATTAGTAGTGTTTTCAACTAAGGGGTAAAGTGCACTGTTCATTTGTCAGAATTGACCGGCAGCCAGACCGCTCCCGTGGTAGTGAGGAAAAGGTAAGGTAAAGGAGCACACGAGCCAAAGGCCCACACGGCCGGAGCTTATACCGGTTTGCTTGGCATGAAGCAAGCCTAGAGGTATTGCTACTCCCCCCCTGGACGGGATCCTAGTCCATCGCAGGGTTATAAATATCATGGTGTTGAAATAGATCAATCATTAACTTGGAGAGATCATGTAGAAAAAATTGCTAAGAAAGCTTCTGGAGGAATTGGAGTTTTGAGACGTGTAAAGCATCTCATACCTTATCATACACTAATTACAATGTTCAAATCCATTGTACTATCGTATTTCGATTATTGTAGTATAGTGTGGGGGAGCTGTGGGGAAGGGATGCGTAACAGACTCCAGACCCTCCAAAACAGAGCTGCCAGGGTGGTAACTTCCTCTAGTTACAATAGGCGATCAGTTGCGATACTGGACGAACTTGGGTGGGATAATCTTGAGACACGAAGGACAAGGCAATTAGCCACAATAATGTATAAATTGAAAAATCACATTGCACCAGATCATTTGGCTCAAAATTTAATAGTACAAACTCTATGTACTCCTATAATCTAAGGAACTCAAAACATAATTTGTTTGTAACAAGACTGTATACTGAGGCTGAAAAAAAAAACAGCTTCCACTATAGAAGGGCGGTTCTCTCGAATAGTCTATAAAACGCTGTTAAAGGACACACAAGCTTGAAATTATTTCTCTCGCATTTGTAATTTTAGAACCATTTTAATAACTATACTTATCTAATGTTATTTTACTGCATGATTTTTGCACGGCTCTCTGGAAGAGCATTTTTATCAATGAGATTCCGTGATTAAATGAAGATGATGATGATGATGATGATGATGAACCCCCAGCAGTATGTCGCCGGTACCCATTATACATCTGGGCGAAGAGAGACAACAAAGTGGAGTAAAATTCCTTGTCGAAGGAAACAACGCGACGGGCGAGGCGTAAACCCCGAACCTCCAGATCCAGAGTTCGAGGTGTTCACCGCTCAGCCACACACTCCTCCACGTGGTAATGAGAACTACACTTTTACCTGAAAATGTCCAGCCTGAGATGAGTCAATTTGTGAATAATATGCATCGGTTGATATGTATTAATTTTAGCCAAAAGTCCTTTAAAAAGCCTATTTCAATTACGAAATAACCGGTCCGGCGCCCTAACACTAGTACATTTTAATTTATTAGTTAATACACTATAGCAAATTATAAAAAGACTCTCACTAAGTAACTAATTTTACTATAACCTATATATATTACTTGATGTACCAAAATAGAGGCAGTGGCCTTGGGAATATATTAACATACAATAGTAAGAAAAATACTCTGATGAATTACTTCTACTATATTGAAATACTTACATAGTATGATAAGGAATTGGTGTTCCCCAGCAACGAGGCGTAATTAGAGGCTTCTGTATTCGCAAGCTAGTTAAGGATTGCTGTCATTCAGAAATTAGTCTTAAACATTAATAACTCGTCAATGAAAGAGTTATTCGAGGCTGAAAATATTTACAGATTGATAAAAGCGCACCAGAAACAGGAACAATTCTTAAAGAACTCGATTAGAAAAGTCTTTGACTAAGTTCTGTGGTAACGAATATCTTTAAAAAGGATTGATCCTATACGAATAAATTCTACTCAGTATGGAACCTGACACTGAATATTTTCAAAGACTGCAAGCAAGGAACAGCTGCAGCAAAAATTGTTCTTAACCTCTAAATGCTAATGAAATTGCTATTTAAAAAATTTTGACCTGTATACTGACAGACGTTAAAACCGAGTGTTCACACGCTACAGTCACAGTCATATCATCAGCGACATGACTCAAAGAGAGAGAAACTAGGTAATCATTAGTACGCGTATTTTCCAAGGATTTTTACAACAACAGGGTCTAACGGTGGAGTATTTACAGGGGACTGCAGGCAAGATGCTGGCCCTAAAAACCAAGTTCTATTAAGAAAACTACAGTAATTTATCTAAGAAATTGAGGAGGCTGTATGAATTGTTTTAGGCAGAAAATATTTTTGTTATGAATACTTAGTCTATTAAAACGGCTAATCGTACCGTCATAAGAAAATTGGCGGATTAAAAACTGTACATGTGAAAAAATAGACGTCTTGTTTCTGGCCAGCATCTTCAAATACGGTACCACAATAATGATTCAGTCACTTGTTCCACTCAAATGTCTGTAAGGTCGTAATTCTTGAATCGCAGTATAATCAGACATCTTTACCTCCTATCTGTGGAATAAGGCTAACATAGTGAAGCTCGTGCAAGTGACCCAGCACCAGCCGGTTGCTACTAGTAACATCAAACTCTGGGCAGACCATTACGTCATAGCGATGTGGAAGACTGCTAATCACATGGATGCACGTTCGAAAACAGTTTGCCGCGCCGTGTAGAACAACGTGATCACCCCATGTACCATCTGCCATCATACTTGTGAGGTAGGCATCCCAAGATGGATATCCATCAACAAAATGAAACAGTTCTGTCCCATCCGGCTGTAAGAAAAAAAGAAAATACTGTAGTTAATAGAGAAAAAGGTAGAGAACTTTTGTAGAAGGTATATATTCAGGCAGCTGGGCTGTCAGCTCTCTCTAAGACGACACCATTAGTATCGGCACTAGAAATAATATGTCCACCTCAGTAGTATTAAGGACACACCAGTTAGACGTCTTTTTTTAAAGTGGAATATATTAACGTCGATGACGTCTCAGTTTATCTCCTTCGCGCGCCAAGAATCAGTGAACCGGAACCAGAACAATATGGCTACGTTCACACTATACCAGATAAGCTTTGGTGACGACACGAAAAGCCATCCAGTATAGTGTGAACATATATGCGATATGTGACCCTCAACTTTAGAAATCGGCGCGGCCTCATTCCCTTTCGTAATTTCGACGGTCGACGCCAGCATTAGTATCCAAGCCTTTAGTCATGATAGATGTAATATATTCCCTGGATTTAGTTACAAAAAGGCAAATAATACGTTTTTGAATAGTGCTAGAAAACGGCGTTGGAGCTAAGTTGAATTTTCGTTAAAATTTATGGAAAGGGCTAGGGTCACCTGTTATTGATGTAACAGTTAAGAAAGACAGTTTGTCAGTGTTTGTACTTAACTTTTTTCGGCATTTTGGCGGGTCGGTGGGGTAGTCTAGTGGTAAGGGAGAGAGATTAGGATACCAAAGGTCCGGGTTTGACCTTGGGTTGCGATTTTCTTTCTTTTTTATAGAAACACTCTGAATAACAGATCAAAAATTTTCTTAGTGTCTGAAAAATTGCAGCGGCCGTTTACGAAAGGGACAGCTGCATCGGCGCGTTAAAGAAATCGCGCCGAAATCACCGTTCTCATGTGTGAACTGAAACCCCATCCGGTATGATTTTCGTAAAGCTATAAAGCTATACCATATAGTGTGAAGACAGCCCAAGATGTCTGCAATGGACAATGAGGGCATCGTGGTTCAGTGATTTTAAGTCACAGGTGTCTTCATGACCAAAAAAGACATAATTTGGACAAATATATGACATCATTCTCACAATATAAGGGCATGATCCCTACAAGTTACATAAATGGATGTACTGAATACTTCATAAAATAGCTCGTGGCGTTGTGTTAATGAGATTCAACCGCATTTTATTCACCGCGAGACAGAGATATAGTTATTTATTCCACTTCATACTAATGAGGTTCCACAACAAAAAAGCGGTCTGACCTGTGCACCCTAGACTACTCTCCTCAGGGGGGGCTGGCAACGGCCTTTGATCTTGCCACTTTTCGGCTTTCCATGATCGCCCCAGTTAAGAAATCTGTCAATCATTCGAAAACTGTAGCGAGCATGCGCGAACGGGCTGGGAAAAACAACAAGAAGCTCATCTTCGCAGCGATTCGACAGTGTAAAGTGAATTCGCGTTTACAATTTTAGTCCTGTTGGTAATTGCTTTCTTTCGACTTTGCCGTATCCAATTTTTTTCCGCGGTAATGTGGAGCTTACGTTTTCCTTTCTTCTGGGCTTGCGTTTGTCATTACATGCGGTTTACTACGCTAAGAACGAAGAAGAAGACTAGTGAACATGTTCCTCGATGTCCGACCTGTTGACTATGTGTTTCTGTTTAGAAGACCCACAAGACTAAAAGAAGGGCCAGCCCTCCAATACGTATGTAGAAGAATTTATATTTTCAAGTGAAAGGCCCAAAATTAATTCTTCGCAGTATTAAAAAAAAGTGCGGTGGCTGGGTCGAGTAGAAGAGTTGTCAGAGTTGTTTACGGTTCTACTACAGCTTTAAGACGAAAAGAAATGATGATTGAGATTCTTAATTTTACATCCTTGATTGTGAACTTATCCTGGCAGAGTTGCGTTGGATGATTGAGTGGCATGGTCAAATCTCGTAGTTCATGTATTTCTTTATGTACTAGAAGCTAAATTCATTCTCTATTGATTTTGCACATGTTGATATGTTAAAGTTTCGTTCTTTGTGTGATTTAATGTAAACTTTACCGTAGTTTCTAACAAATGAATCTTAAGCAAATGAAAGGGTAATTATATTTTGTGTTTGGAATTTCAAAAACTAAACTACGGTTTAAAAAAGTTGGGATTGGCTAGGTTCAGAAAATAAATATTCAACTTTGCATGTTTTGACAAGGACCACATCTGGCTAAAAATGCTTCAGGAATAATTATTAACTCAGGAAAATGGTGACATTTATATTTTTGCCTTTCTTTTGGCCACTGCGATCAGTTTTTTCCATACAGTTGCATGTATTTTTTTACACCTTTGGACATCACTCAACCTGCCAGGTTAGTTTGTGTCTGTGCTATATATAAATGTAGTTAATGAAATCAAATCCTCTCAAATCCTCCCAACTGGATATGAAAAACACCATAGGATGCCTTGGAAAAAAATGTAAAATCATATTATTAAGATAATATATTTATTTGTAGTCAACTGAATAACAGTTTGGAAACTTGTGTTGAGGCAGGCAAAAACCTTTTTCAGAGAACATAAACGTTCACTGACTTTGATGTTACAACAAGTGGTAAAAGGGTTTTAAAATGTGAGATCACCTAGTAGGACAAATTGTTTATTTCCCTACCCTTTTTAAGCTAAGAGAACTTATTTTATAATTCTGATTCATTTCATTTAGCATGCAGAATTAAGTTAGCTTTTAAACTTAGAAACATGGAAAAACTTGGGGGAAAAATAGTGGTACCAAAAATGTAACTATAAACTGCTCTTCATCAACCTTCACAGCTCAAACAGACACCTTGTTCAAAACTCTAAAGGATGAAATGGTCACCACCCTGAATCAGCAGCACATACCTGTCTAGGCCAAGTAAAAAGAACTGCTGAAGGGATTGGGCTTAAGGGACAATAACTTCTTTTGTCGGTTGATATAAAATCAATTTTACCTTGTTTGTTTTTGTTGTAAATCAAATTCATAGCTTATACAAACAACTGAGGTTGTACATTTTTTCAAGCTCCTTCTGATTCTCTTTATAAACTTTGCAAAACATTCAATTTTCTTTTTTCTGTTTCCTGTACTTCAGTCCTTTGAGGGATTTTCTCGCATACCCCTCTCTGATGTACTCACTCTTATTAGCAACTGGATAAGCCTCTTAGCTTGTCCCCACACTAAACCATTATAATCATTTCAAGTAAAATTCAGAACTACAGGGTAATTTTTGTACAAACAATTTCAAGGAAATACTTGAAACCGAAGTCACTATCTAATACAAAACTACTAAATACAGTACTGTTGTTGGAAATTTTTTGATTATCACTCCAATGATATTCCAGTGAAGGTTTTAAAGGTTCAGTAAAACCCTCCCAGCCTTCTGATATTAAAAATAGCTTATACTGACAGACCCAGTATATATGAAGCAAAGAGACTGGAAAATTTACCCTGGCTTTTACTAAATTGGCCCTGTATTCTGTATTTTCGCCCATAAATATTTCTTGTGGCTATCGGTTTGCAAACAAACTTACGAACAGCGAAGTAGAAAATTGGTGTAATGAACACTCCCATATATGACTGTTGCAAGACTCATACTAATATAGTGAGCTCGTAGCATATGTTTAGGATAAGGAAGAGAGGTCTTCATACCACTGTAGGTGGAAAAATATAAGAGATGGAGACTAGGCTGGTTGCTCGAAAATTCACGAAGCTTATAAATAACTGAACTTGCCAAGATGCCGAAGGTGTGAATCACGATAAGTGTAGTCACCCATGAACTGTTCATACATCACGCTTCTTGATGTCCAAAAATTCCATGAAAAATGTTCTTGAAAACCTTTTCTTGATGTTTGGACGCGGGAAAACTCAAAACCGAGCAAAACCTCATCGTCCCTCCATGTCTACATTCTCCGCGATATTTGCTTTGAAGGAAAATGGTACTCAGTCTCACTCGGCCAAATTTCTTAACTGGGGCGATCATGTAAACTCGGTTCCAGACCTCGCTGCCAGCCCCCCCTGACTCTCCTTAAAAATGTCAAAAAAAATTAAGGAGGGCAGAGACCAACACTTTTAGAGAGGTGGAGTAGGTTTAGGAGGTTTTATGGAGGTGTCCGTTACACGTGTAAGAGAGGGGAGAGAGAGGGGAAGGGATGTTCACTATTAAATTGTTTACTATCATGTGACGGGCCATGCGCGTATACTGCAAATATGTCCACTCTAAAAATAATAAAAAAGAATGAGGTACTTACCAGCTTAGGGTTTTCCCGAAGGTGTTGAACAACAGTTCGGCGTAACTCATTATGGGAGATTTTGATTCCTTTGATGAGGTCAAGCTGTTCTGAAAGTGCAAAGAACATGCAGTTTCCCCCTCCTTGATTGTCAGAAATTGCAAAACCTTTTTCCAACGCAGTCCTCTTCAAAGCCTGCGACAGCTTAGTTTTGCTGGACTCTATGCGTGCTTCCCGTATAATTTGTTGAAGTACAATAAAAAAGGGTTCGCCTGTTAACAGAAGATAAAAAAAAACTTAACATAAGATAGAGGTTATTTCATGCCAGTTTAATAGGAGATGGTGCACTGGTCTGAAGATCAAAACAGCAGGCAATTTAATTAAAAATTACTGTGGTCTCCAAAGAACTAAATAATCTCACTCTACTGCAAAAATATATTTTGGCTTTGGTTTGATTGACGAAGCAAACAAAGACATTACCTGCCATCGGTCCTGTTGCAGCATCCTTTTCACAGTCATTTTGTGGAACGTCATCTTCTTGCTTTTTCTCAACACCTGTAAAGTTTAAAATTAGCAGTGAATTTAAATTGTTTGGCCTGTAATCAGGAGAGGGAAACATTTAGTTTACGTCAGTTTACTTGGAGATGCACCCCAATAATCGAAAGTACCCTGGTTCAACAGAAGAAAATAACCTCACTCCACTGCAAAAATAAATTTTGTCTTTCGTTCAACTGACAAAGCAAACAATGACACTACCTGCTATCGGCTCTGTTGAAGTGTCCTTTTCACAGTCGTTCTGTGAAACGTCATCGTCTTTGGTTTTTCCAAGACCTGTAAAGTTAAAAAAGCGATGATTTACAGAAAAAAATGTCACTCTCCAAAAAAAAAAAAAAGATTTCAACCTCAGAAGCCCCCCTTTCATTTCTTGTGACAAATTATCAGCCAAAAGTTTGGCTGGGCCTTTTTGTTATTTTCTTTTTATATACAAGAGAACAGCACCATTGCCACTGCATATGAATAAAAATCAAATAACTTTGATGTATCGCAATGTTATAGATTTTAACTTTCTTTTATCGTTAATTCCTTCAAGTGTAGCCAACATATTATAAAATTATACATAAACGTTTTAACGAATGGAATTGATCAGCCGGTGAAAAAGATCTTGATTATTAAACAAATTCTCCTAATCAGTAACACAAGATATGTATGGAGAACAGTGTGGAGAGTGTGAACGCTAACATTAAGGTTAAAAAGGTTAACGACAATATTTCCTCAGCGATGCACATGGACCACGAAACATAATGTAGAAAAAATTTATTTATGCACTCGCTATTGCAGAAGCCATGGACATACAGCGATGAATGATGAAGGTCAAATCAGGATAATCCTTATAAGATATCCATTTTAACATTTACAAGTACAAATTATTATTATTATTGTTACTTTCCTATCGGTAAATTTGATTTCTTACCATAGACCATCTTCCACATCCTGTCAACAAGGGCCTGGCACTGTCCCTCCCAACTGAATCTTTCATCATAACTTCTTTTCAGTCTTTGGATTTCTTCAAGCCGCTGTGTCCTAGATTTTTGACGGATGGCTGCAATTGCCTTTGCCCATTTCTTGGGGTCATCAGAGTCAATCACAAATGACTCACCCATTGGAAGACCACGCAGTGCTTTTCCAAATCCAGAGTTTCCACTTACCAAAATGGGAAGACCAGCTGACATGGCCTCCAAAGCTGTCAAACCAAACCCCTCAGTTCTTGATGGCATAATGGCCAGGTCGACTTCACAAAACAACTCTCTCAATCTTTGTTTGTCTTTCACAAATGATCTAACAATCAGCTGGTTCTTTGAAATGCCAGTCTGGAGTAGGATTTCTGCGACTTCATCCTGTCTTCCATCGGATGCACCAACGAAAACAAGACTATAGGAACTGTCCTTCAATTCAACTATGGATCGAGCGGCAATGTCGTATCCTTTAAGACTAAAGTCTTCAAAATCACCGCGACCGAAGGTTAACACTTTGAAATTTACATTCTCTTGTTCAGAATGCTCAACATCTGAAAACTCTGTAAAGGAACCTGGTATTAATTGAAAGATTTCTCGACGAGATGAACGCAGCTGCGACGAGATCGCGTGTTTCAACTTGGGTCCAACGGCTACAACGAGGTCTGCAATTTGACAAAGTTCAACTTCAGCTCTGTTCTTCCCTTCTCCCTTGGCAATGGCGCTTGGATAGTTCTTATGCATCGCCAGCTCTTCAGGCTCAGTGTGAACAACCTGCACCCACTTACAGCAATGAGACTTTCTTATAATCTGTGCTTGTCTGCCAAGCTTTGCTCCATGGCCGATCACAACCTGAATGTCAAGGTCTTCTGGGGGAACGATCAACCAGTCAAGAGGATCACTGTAGGCAGGAAGGCGTCCTGCTTCCCGGATGGAAATGTTGCGACTTTTGGCAGCTCTCTTATCCTCTTCGCCACATTCAAATTCAGGTACAAGAATGGTGACTTCTACGTGTGGGTCTTTTGCCAAATGTATGGCAAGAGTCCTGTTTATTGTTGACAAGCCACCCTTAAACGACCCCCACTCATTCGCGAGAAGGGTAACTCTTAGTACCAGACGCTCTGGACGAGCTTGTGCAGTATCAGATGATGATGATTGAGTACACGCTTCCTGCATAGCAACCAAAATTGCATATTATAAAATACAAATTTTACATCTGGGGGGTTCTACCTTTTTGAATGAAAGTTTGCAAGACATGTTAACACGTTAGATGCTATAAACTCATTGCTCAACAGCAAAGCAAAACAGTACATTAAAAAAGACTTGAGAGAAACTTGTATGCCAACTGCTATGCCTATTAGACCAATAACAATTATTAATACATGGTAGCCAATTGACCTTGTCAACTTACTTGATTTTAAGTACCAATGTTTGCTAAGTTGATAGCAACAAAGCCTTCTCTTACACAGTGGAGCCCGTGGTGGGATAAATAAAGGCATACGTTAAACCTCATACTATAACCTTAACAAAGCACATCCATGGACTTTGTTGAAGCCTTTTTAGTTTAACTATATGAGTGCTGGAGATCGCATTTCACTACTACCTACCTTACTTTCTATTTGAGAGAACCACTTTTCTTCTCCAGTAACTGTGAGTACCTCCTCTGCAGGTTTCTTCTTGCAAATCAGAGGACCGCCTCGTCTTGACTCAAGGAGGTGAAGACAATCTCCATGAGAACATGCAATCTGATCATGGCTTAAGCATTTTTCCCGCTGACAATACGGACAGGCGACCCGAATATGATACTGCAATCCACCTTTATAGAGATCACGTGACAAAACTTGCAAAGTTGCCTCCACAAACTCACGAACCTGTACCGCCACCTCACTTGTGTCATCTACTGAGATCTGGTGAGGTTGGTTTCTTTGCTTGATAAAAAACTTAATAAACTGCTTCTTACAAATAAGAACAAAATCATGAAAAGTTTGCTTCCCAATAACAAACCACGCTCCATTTTGGTACAGGGTAGGGGGCTGAAATGGACCGGCTTCAGAACACCAACGGACAGATCGAGAAACAAGCCGAGTGAAGAGACCATGGGGAACAGAACCGCTGACAAAGTAAACATACAGGGGACAAGGGTCCAGCCTTGTGGGCGCCATGGAACAAAGGGAATCAGGTGACGCTTTGAGCTGAGATGGAACAAAATACTTTTCACCTGTCTTTGAAGATGAAAATTTTGCAATTAATCCAAATTGTTCCATCAAATCAAGAATGTCTTTCCTGGCAACACCCTTCAGGAGAAAGTTGGAAAACACACGATCAACCAGTTCCATGGGGAGAGCACCGCTTTCTTCAACTTCCTTCCAGTGCTTTGCAACCTTAGGAACCTAAGACGGAATAAGGTGACGGACAATAACAAAACTATTTTAAAATAATGATATTTAGGGAGAATTTTAAGCCAGTTAATTAATGCACTTGTAAATTATTGGTTATTTTATTTAATATTTTAAGTAAACAAACAAAGAAAAAGATCTAGAGTTTTCCGTTTTTGTGTTTGGACGTTTTTGTGTTTGGAGGTGGGGGACCCCAGGCTGGTTAGGTAACCTGTTTAGGTTGGGTAACTTGCCTGTCCACATATAACCTGAGATCAGGCCCAATTTTAGCGGTTCTCATACATTCTCTCTTGCCCGCCAGAATGTAATTTTCAAAGCGAAACGAAAATAGAGCCTGATTTCAGGTTAGTCCACATAATATTTTAATTTGACCACGTTTACATGATAGTTGGGGTGACCTGCAACACCTGTTAAGTCACCCAAAATGGGGGCCATTATAAACCATTGCAAGTTTAAAAGCACGTTTAAATTGCGTTTCTTACCATTTTCGTAAAATCTGGAATAGTGATCAGCTGCCCGAACAAGTCTATCAGCCACATGGCACTCAAGATGACTGTACTACGGTGCTTGATAATTATTCTCAGGTCATGATAGAAATTCACCATGGTGGTAAACTCTTCCTCATCATCGACGAAGCAATTCTCCTTAACATGGGTCCGTAGCTTCGTTATACTCAGGTAATAAACTGGCTTGGAAAGCAAAGCGTTGATGACATTCTCAAAGTTCAGCCACCTAGTTTATTAAACCAAGGAAAAAATTGATAGCGCACGTTAAGTATCCATGTGACGACACAGTATACCTGTACTGACTAAAGTGCAGAGCCCAGAAGTGCGAAACGTGGATAACTCTTCCCACTGGATAAATATCTATCCAAAATCCAGTGGATAGTGCCATTAAGGTTCCTGATATTTTTCCTCATAAAAGTGATTCATTGTTTGAACAACCGGGGCTAGAAGCATGCATACGTTACAAAACATGACTGCTGGCATGTGAAAAGCCGTGTATATTCTTTATTAGTTAGTATTTATGGTCTTTCTAGAGTTAAAATGAGATAAATATAAGCTTAAATAAGCTGAACTAAAGGTGGCCATGTTCTAATTTGTGACCCTGTGCAGTTATGCAGTTTACTAGAGATTGAACGGGTGCGTGATCCACTTTACTTTACCTTTTTAAAACAATGACCGGAAATGTACAAAGTTCTTTTCGGCCAATTCGAAATAACGTTATCAAACCCTTTAGGGCAGAATATTCCTTAAGACCAGTTAAAACTGCTTTTCATGGTTAACTTGTTTCAATCAACGAGATATTCATTTCTTATGTGGCTCATACAGGAATCAATGAACTTTTGAGTTCTCAATGTAATTTTTTAAATCAAAGTAAAAGACTACAATGAAACAGCCTTTAGATGTTTTGCGTTTACGCTTTTACATAGCGTCACAGTCAACTGATGACACCTGAAACACATTACATATAAAAAAATATCTTACAAGGATTGGCGGAAACAAACGCCATCCACATAAACAGTAATTTCAGTGAGTTCACAGCTCAACCCTTGACATATAAATTATTTAATATTTACTTTAATGGATTCTGAACATTCTGGTATAACCATTATTTACCTCACAGGTATCCTCTCCCCAATGTAAGGCTCCTGTCTTAGCACTTCCATGATTTTGACTTGTAAAGCTTGGATGTCATCAATGTTTTCATCTTTCGCAGTAAAAACATTTCTGATCTTACTCTGAAGTAATTTCGCAGTGTTGTCAATGCTGAAGATAGGCCGCAGCACATGTCCTTCATAGTCCTTACCAGCAATTGCCTTCTGGATTTCTGTTTTCATTGTTTTAATGTCTTCGAATGGTTTGTCTGCATGGGTTCCTACAATGATCACTGGGGGGCGCAAATGAGGCACCTCTTTTTCTACATCATCACAGGTTTCTCTTCTCATCTGCGCGACGCTATGCACTGTGGACAGCCAAGACAACAAATTCTCGAGATTTGTTTCTCCATTTGGGTTTTCCAAATCAACATTACAAGATCCTTGTCTTACACAGGGCTTGGCTGTGTCATGCAGTGACTTGCTGAGGTTGCACACCAAGATGTACAGCGCACGTGATGATAAAAATACAGGATGGGATGCATAATACAGGTGTTGTCCAGCAAAATCCCACAGTTCAATACTGATAACAGATTCTTCCTTAGCACCTTTACCTTTTATATACTTTACCAAATTTTCAGCTCGTTCCTTGACCTCCTCTGGAGGTGAAGTAGTATCAACCACTAACTCATGATCAGGTCCTGTTAATGTGAGTTCACTATCACTGTCTTCGTTTGGATCACCAACCTGTAGCAGGTTCGAGGAAAAAACAACAACAAAATAACTGTTGATTCTGAAAATGAAAGACTTAACATATCTGGTTCGATTTTGGGGGGTAAAGAGGAAAAATAGAGTAAGAATGACGAAACGTTTTTTTGGAATAATGGATTAGTGCCATTTTGTGGCGCGGAATAATGGAGTCAATGGATTTTTTCAACGGAATTACGAATAATGAGTTCTTTTTACTGGAATAATGAACACTCAATTATTAATTTGTCATTGATGACAGAACATTCTTTAAAAGCTCAAAAAAAAAAGATATGAGGCACGATTATTGCAGTTTTTAAGGAACAGTGAATTTAAGAATATATAGAAAAACAGTGTTTGATTGAGTCCCCCAGCCCCTTGGCTTTACTCTCGCATAAAAAAGAAAAAGAAAACAACTTGATACCGAAATTGTGATTAACAACAAAATACGCGAAACCTATACTCAAGGCCTAAATGACACTTAAAAATATAAATAAAGATACGGCTATTAAGGCTATACTCACTTTGGTTTGCAGACGCGCACTAATGACCTAAACGCTAAGCTTACGTGTAGATGGGTACAACCATGGAAATAAAGCAAAATGGCTGATAGTAGTAGCATTCTACTCTCGGAACTAAACTTCCTAGAATAAAAAAAACCCTAAATTCTTAACCACAAACCTGCCAGAAAACGATCTGGCAATTGGTACATATTTTTCATACGAACATTGTAGCAAAAGAATGGGAGACCGTGGTGCGTTTCTCACTAAAACCTAACTTATGAAGGCGATAATCAATTCATAATAACTACTGTTAAGATGTTCTTGTGTTAACAAAGGATTCACGAAAAAACGTCACATTTCACAACCAACAAAGACAAACCTCATTTACGAGAGAAACTTCTTCCTTTGCTCCATCAGTACCAACTTGTTTCCTATTCTTGTTATCATCATTTTCAAGTATTTCTTCACCTCTTTCCTCCTCCTGAACCCAGTCACGGTTAACTGAAATGTCAAGCATCTTTTCCACCATCAGCTGTGCCACATCTCTCGAACATCCCAGCAGTCCTTGTTTTCTCTCATCAATAGGTTTCCAATTCCTGACTTCACCAACGTTCAACCGAAATTTTGATGGATCCACTTCAATTCCATCAGTACTTTTTTCTTTTGGATTAAATGGTAGACCAATGAGAGACTTCTTTAAACTTGTTTTTCCTGCCCGATCCTGCCCAATAAGCAATACTCGACCACGGTAAACATTAACAGCTCCATCTTTCAGAGCACTTTGATAAGCGAGCTGTGCTTTTTCTCCGCGTGCTTCTATTTCTAAAGGAGCTAGTAAAAAAAAGAATGCTCATTAAAGGTAAGTAATGGTTGTGTAGTTCATTGACTTCTAGTTCACTTAACTGACCTATTGTACGAGGTCAATGGGGTGTGTGTGGGGGGGGGGGTTTAATTTCCATTAGATACTTAGTCCTACACCAGTATTAATTGTCCCTCTTGTGATATTTCAGTACGGTCTTTTAAGTTATTAAAAGAAATCTATGGTAAACACAATGTTACTGAATTTCAAATGTAAGATATATAACTTAATTTAGGTTATTTTTGGTACAGTTTAACAATCCACCTGCTATTTTAAACTTGTTTTTTTACTGCGCTTACTTCAAGTCTACATGCATGTTCAAAACACCGTAAATGGTGCTTAAAAATTAGTGTTGTGTTTTGAGTCACCAGAATTATAGGTGTTGTTTGCATTCATGTGATGAGAACCTGTCCCTCTAAAAGAAACAGCTACATCAACGAACTAACTCCGTTTCAATAAGCGCTCAATCACTAATAACCTCCCCTACTGCATAAGCACCCTTGTTCCAACCCGGAGAGTTACTTGGGTTTATTTTCGTTGGGTATGTGCCGCTCGCCTCTCAAAATCCCGACCGCGTTATAGTCTATAGTGTGGCGATATCATACACCCCATCTTAGTCACTTCTGGAAAAAAGTAATTTTCGCAATTCCAACTTAGTGACTTTCTGCTTATGCATCTACCTTCTAAAGCCTTTTAACTAGAACATCCTAAAATGATCTGCCACCTTTTTGTTACATTTGGTGTGGTGTAAACCTTTCTATTGTTAAATCCTTACACACCTGAATTTTCTGATCCCCAAAATCCTGAAAATGTGCGACCCCATTCCAGTAACTCTTATAAAAATGTAATCCCATAATAGTCAATCCAGTCGTGAAAATGCTGCCCAATCCAGCAGCACATACCCATTAGCCTACTACTGGGAAGTACCCTCCACACGGACATTCCAAGCGCCCCAATACCGTGTCGTTATTCAATCACCGACTATTGTTCCATCCTATCGTGACAAGGTTTGACCATAATTCACGCAACCCGAGTGAAGAGCCGCGAACGCTCACGATTGTTAAAATCAACAAAGGGCCTACAGCACCAAACATAGGACCAAAGCGTATGGTTTTGAATGCCCGGTGCCTGGCAAAACCTGATGCAGCTCCGACTCTTTATGCTGAGCTTAGTAACAATAACATTGATACCGCAATTCCTCGAATAATAGCCGGGAGCGATGACTATTTTTTTCCCACAAAAAGGGAGTCGATTATTTGAGGGGACGATTATTTAAAATATTGCTCACTGGAGGTCGTGCCCTAGATATTTTGTTTTATTATTCCATGAAACCGAAAATTGATAACATCAAATTAACAGAACAAAGGCTTTTTAAGTGTTCCAAATTTGGTTATTTGATAAATTTTCAATACCAATATCCTCGGCACCCGAGCTTGATCGTCACTAATCAGTTTTGCTGGATTAGGCTCCACTGCAACTTGACGGGGAGGGGATAAAAGAAAGAGAAGATGGCGAGAGGGGTGGGGGTGGGGCGATTATTTTAAACATGTCGGGTTAAGGGGGCGATTATTCGAGGGAGGCGATTAATCGAGGGACGACTTTTATTCGACGACTGTTTTGTTTTGGAGTCATGGTTGAGTATGATAATCCTGTCATATTCGAATTGCCCAGAGGGCTATGTAATGGTGAGGAAAGATCGAGCTGGCTCGCTGATCGGTGGTGGTGTTGCTATGATTTGAAGGAATAATTGGAAGGGTAAAGCGTTGAATGTCACTGATAGCTTGGAATTTGAGTCCTTAGTTGGAGACCATGTCGCTTTGTATACAAGATGACCTCGTATAGCACACCAAAATTTGCCTTCATAAACAAGCTTCGAACTCCAGAACAAGGGATTGTCAGGATAAGCCATGATCGTCGACGTTTGCTAATTCTTGCTCATAAGGTGCCCTGCCCCTGTTTTATGTTTCGAGAGTTTTGCTTCGCAACATAAAAGAAATAGACGCCCTGTTTCGAATAAGCGCCCTCATTTGAGAAACCAAAAGTATATGAGCGCTTTGGGCGCTAAATCGAGTCATTACGCTAAATAATTTAAAGGCATTATCTTTTGTTTAAATTATTCTGTAGCTTGTTTCCTCCTCTCTAAGCGTTATGCTTTTAAAGTGGTCCAAGGGTCTGGTTGCCTTAGTGATCCTGGAGGCTACGTGCTGGGCAGGTTTCAGGTGAAAGGCAAGACACCTGGCCGTCGATGTGGGGGGGGGGGGAGGGGGGTTAGGCAATTCACTTACACTATTGCCGTGCATGCTGACAGGGAAAACAACAACAACTAACTTGCAAAACAAACCTAAGTGAACCTAAGTGTGACTTATAACTTTGTTAAATGGTATAAAAAATTTCAGACCAGTTATAGTTTAGATCACGAGAAGTGCTTTCTCAGGCTTCTAATTTGAAACTTAAACAGCGAGCTTACTGAACAGCTCAAAACTCTTCATCCTTAACGGTCTGTTTATTGTTCTGTAACAATAATTTTTTCTATTTAATACATATTGTGTCCAGCGGCCAAACTTCCATAATTATAACATAACAATATTACATCATCCATTAAGTGAAAAATGGCTTCAAGACTCTGCGGTTGTGTTTTCACTGAGATAATTTTAGCTAGATAAAGCCAGAAAAGTCCAGAAATACAGTTAAAACACCTCGTCTTGTGTTAGCGAGTTAAACATGCCCACTGTTTTTTCGGCTTTATGACCGGAAAATTACGCAAAGTTAGACAACCTCGCGAGATGGTATAACTTGTCTTGATAAATACCGCAGCCAATCGCGTTGCACGTTGTGACAAACGCCTGCCAAATGACCGGCGAAATAAACATTTTACTAGAGGTTGTAGTGAAGGGCTTGAATCTTTTGTCCTCGATGAATAAATCGACAATTAATAGGTAAGACTTTTAATTTCTAATTCGTAGCCAGTAGTAGCGCAAACGCATCTGAAATCATTATTAAAGGATTGCAATTGACAATCGATAAAATGGATGAAAATTGACAACAACTGATACTCACAACTCTTTCCATCTTCGATATTTATCGATTACCGATATGAATCGCTTAATTACTATCGTTTAAAATCGAATAGAATCCATCATTTCGATTAACGAGTTTCATCGATCTGGCACGGCGTGTTAAACCCACCCTACTTACGGCAATTATTGCTGTTTTGCTGTTACATTTTGAAACAGGATTACAACATTACTTCCTATCCTCTTACTCTTTAGAGACACTATTCAACTGCATTCATAAAATAGCGAGAATCATTAAACGAAAACACATTCAAAGCGCTTCGTCTCCTAACATTTTTGAATGTGGCGCGCTTTTTAAATTTGAATCCTCTGAGTTCTTCCGAGCTAAATTTACATGTAAAAGTGAAAACAGCTAGTAATCGTCGGTATGTCAACAAACACCAAGGAAAAATGATCCGCTCCCTCCCTCCGAAAAATAAAGAAGCGACGACGAGAAATACGTCTGCTGTTTGCAGGTAACCCCCGCTGGCGTTTTTAGCGGAGCTGGTATTTTTTTAGCCTGCGAACAGCAGACGTATTTCCGGTCGTCGCTTCTCTCCCTCCGAAAGTTCGTGAAAACATAGACTTTCAAAAAAGTCCTTCGTCGGATTTCATATGGCGCGGGATAAGATAAGATACTCAGCCTCATTCATTAACTGTTAATTAATACGTAAAAGAAACTTACCATTGATTTTGAAACTACAGTTCGTAGCATCTCTTGATTTATCAAACCCTCAAATTCGCGAAACCTCCGATAACTGAAAAAAAAACCCACTTCCCTTTCCCAGGCAAATAGTGGAATTTTATTTCGGTTTTTTTCGAACTTCCAAATAACTACAATATCCGCTGTGCTTACCTGCAACACCATATACTCCTTTCTTCCCTAACTTCAAGGCGCGTCTTATTGCGTCAACAGTTAAAGGATTATGTCTCACATTCAGCTCCCTCAGCTTCCTGAGGTCACCAATCTCAGCAGGTAGTTCAGTTAGTTTATTTCCATACAAGTACAGGACTTCAAGCTTGGTCAGCCTCTGTATACTGGTAGGTAAACCAACCAACTGGTTGTTCCTCACCCGCAGCCGCCTCAGCTCCCTGAGGTCACCAATCTCAGCAGGTAGTTCAGTTAGTTTATTTCCACTCAAGTACAGGAATTCAAGCTTGGTCAGCCTGTGTATACTGGTAGGTAAACCAACCAACTGGTTGTTTCTCATAATCAGGCTCCTCAGCTCCCTGAGGTCACCAATCTCAGCAGGTAGTTCAGTAAGTTTATTTCCATCCAAATGCAGCTCTTCAAGCTTGGTCAGCCTCTGTACACTGGTAGGTAAACCAACCAACTGGTTGTAAGTCACACTCAGCTTCCTCAGCTCCCTGAGGTCACCGATCTCAGCAGGTAGTTCAGTTAGTTTATTTCCACTCAAGTACAGGAATTCAAGCTTGGTCAGCCTGTGTATACTGGTAGGTAAACCAACCAACTGGTTGTTCCTCACCCACAGCACCCTCAGCTCCCTGAGGTCACCAATCTCAGCAGGTAGTTCAGTTAGTTTATTTCCATCCCAATGCAGCTCTTCAAGCTTGGTCAGCCTCTGTACACTGGTAGGTAAACCAACCAACTGGTTGTTATTCACACCCAGCACCCTCAGCTCCCTGAGGTCACCTATCTCAGCAGGTAGTCCAGTTAGTTTATTTCCAACCAAGTCCAGCCCTTCAAGCTTGGTCAGCCTGTGTATACTGGTAGGTAAATCAATCAAATTGTTGTCTCTCACACTCAGCTCCCTCAGCTCCCTGAGGTCACCAATTTCAGCAGGTAGTTCAGTTAGTTTATTAACATCCAAGTACAGCCTTTCAAGCTTGGTCAGCCATTGTATACTGGTAGGTAAACCAAGCAACTGGTTGGCACTCACCCACAGCTGTCTCAACTCCCTGAGGTCA